TTACGGGTAAATTAATATCTCGGGAACCACGGAGTCTAGGAGGCTGAAATTTTAGGGTAATGATCCTCTGCCCACGCTTAAGCTTGCCCATCCAAATTCAGCGTTCCCGTACCCGCGGGCAACACGTACGGCCCCGTGGAAGTTGTTCACGGGTAAGTTAATATCTCGGGAACCACGGAGTCTAGGAAGATGTAATTTTAGGGTAATGACCCTCTGCCGTCGCACATCCTTGCCCATTCAAATTCAGCGTTCTTGCGCTCTCGCGTACCACCTGCGGCCTCGTGAAAATTTTGGCGGGTAAATTATTAACTCGGGAATCACGGAAAGTTATTCATCCTTTAAGGTTCCGAATTCAGCTTTCATGCGCCGGTGCGTGAAATTAATTGTTTTCTAATGTTTGAACTATTTTTGCATAGACTAAAGTACAAAGCAGTGAAAATCATTAGTAGGGTCGATGGGCTGAATTGCACAAAACGCATGATCGCACCGGCTAGTCTGGTGCGCGTTGCTATTTATTTAGTTGGCAACTTTTCCAGTTGCTTTGACTAGTGCTGCTTCGCCTGATGACGATCAGCTCATTCAGTTTTGTCCCTTAAAGGGATACGATCTTCCCTATTAGGAACATTCCCTCAAAACATGAGTAAGGAACATCCCTTCAAAATTCCAGTCTTTCAGCTTTCCTCATACTCGAGTTAGCAATTTTTCCACCAAACCTTCACGTGCCTGTACGTAAGACATGGGCGGTTCTAAGGAACTAAATTTAAAGGCTTTTGATTATATATCGGTAGAGAGTATTCTCCTAAAGTTTCAGCTTTCTAGCTTTTCTCGTCCTCGAGTTAGCAATTTTCCCGCCGAAATTTTTACGCGCTCGTACGCGAGGTTCAGACATCGATAAGGATTGGTATCGCGGTCCGGGGCGGCACTTGGTCGGACAACCAACTGGCAAAATTTTGGCGCCGCAACTTGCTTGGTTATCGAGTTCAAATACCCGGACAGACAAACACACACGAACATGCACATACACATACGCAAACACACACACACACACACACGCACACACACACACACACGCACACATACACACAGGGTCACTGCAATATGCGTTTTTGCAATTTGCATATATGCAAGGACGCATAATAAAAAGTTATGTTGAAAGGAAAAAAGTTATTTGGTGGTTTTGGGGCTGCCGGATAAGGCCGGTCTCTTTTTCAGCGCTTTCCTCGACAAGTTCTCAGTTCCTGTGTAGAACGATCTATTAATACTGGGAAAAGTCTGTGTCCCTGTGTACTTCGAATTCTATGGCCAGTACTGCGCTGATTTAGCAAATTCAATACGCTAGCTATGTGTACGATGACGTGGATGTCTGTCTTCCACCTCTCTCAGTCCGTGTACACTCTCTCGTTCGCGTGCACCCAGATACGCGAAGCAGCATGGCATTCCAGGGCAGTCCAGTGTCGCGCAGTATGCACTCGTTTTTGAGTTCGGGTTTGAGTTGCAGAAGTCAGTAGTAGCAGGTTTTTCGTGCAGAGGCGAGACTCGAGATGTCCACTTCAAAATTGCTAAATTCTCTTCAGCATCAAGTTTCACGCGAAGCATAAAAACTCATAAGAGCATCCCCCTCCCATAAGTCTCATCACTGTTTCCAATTCCTATCGCTAGCCAGTGCTTTAGCCAAGCACTGCAACCGTCATACTGACGAGGTCCAGTCGTGGTGCTAAAGCACTGCAACCGTCATACTGACGAGGTCCAGTCGCGGTATTGAGTTAAAGCGTATATGACTTAATAGACCGGAACGTCTTATCTCGCTCTTACCTTCTCTAATCTACACTCTTTCTTCCCTCCTGAATTCCTTCACACCTTGGCCATCTGTACTTCCAGGACCAACCGGTATCTTGCAATCTGCTTAGCTACCTTCCAGTCAGTAGCCACTTGTCCTTCTCCCTCCGTTGCAACCTCCGAGACCCAAACCACGGTCCCTGCCCTTTTTTCCTTCTACCTGGAGAATGTTCCCTCCAACCATTGCAACTGGCCTGCCAACATGGCTGATTCAAGCTTGCTCCGCGAGTTTCGTGGCGGAGTGGCCTGCGTGTTCCGGTTACGCACCACGTGGACCTTACGAGCCAGCCCCTGTAACGCTTTGCATCGACAGGGGTAGAACTTCTCTTCCTTACCTTCTGTTTCTTAACCAGAAAAGAGAACATTGGCTCAGGCTTTGCTCAACATTTCCAAGTTCGTTTGCGTTACCGCCTTAGCAGTAATAATACGTCGTTTTATGCACGTCCTAGATATGCCACCCAGTACCAGTTCAGCCCCTACATTTCCAAATTCCATCTGCCCACAGGACCCAAACGTTGGGTCTTTTCCTTACCGCGCTAAACACCCACATAATGGGCATTTATCTCCTTGCCTCGGTACGGGAATATTAATCCGTTCCTCTTTCCATTGCCGAGATGGATTTGAACTCTTATTCTCAATAATCCGCAACAGCATTAGCCGATATCTTAGGGGATCGACTGACCCACATTCAACTGCTGTTCACATGGAATCCTCTCCCAATTCAGCGCCGATTTCAGCTGCTCTGCCACGGTTCCGCATCCCGGTGCCTCACCCCGCTTGCTGAAGTCCTTTATCGCATTTCTGACGGGTTCAGTACATTTGCTGGCTTCCTGAGGGGATCCCGGTACATCCACCCCCGAAGTATCGGCCTAGAAAAGGCCCCCTTTGGCTACTGCCTTGATGTGGCACTGATTTTTTCGGTAAACGGCTCAGAAATGATTTTATCGATAAAAGTATTTGGTTTCTTTCAGTCCGCCAGGAATATCTCCGATTGTGCCACGGCAACTTCTGGTGCATTCAGAGGGATTCCCGGTGCAGCGTCATATGCTTATTAGATTGCTGCAATCCTGCGCCACCGTCCATTGCAAACGTCTACTATTGACACGTAAGTGAACAGTTCTTTTTTTTTTTCCAACAGCTACAGATTTGAGTTGGGTTTAGCCCTCCCTTCCCATCTTCCCCACTTTCCCCCTGTTCTCTCTGCTTAATCGTCTTTCCTTACTCTCATCCTGTCTTCTATCTCTTCTTTCTTCCTTCTTCCTTACGCACTGCCACCGTCATACTGACGAGGTCTAGTCGCAATGTGGAGTTAAGACGTATATGACTCAATGGACCGAAACGTCTTAGCTCACTCTTACCCCCAACTTTCACTACCCTTTCTTGCTTGCGTACCCCATCGTCTGCCCTTCCAGGATTGACCTGGGAGCTGCAACCTATTTAGCTTATTGCTTTTACCTCGCATTAGTGACTTAGTGCTGTATCACTGAGCCAGTGCGGTACTTCATTGTGGTCTTGGAGTGACAACGTTCGAATCGCGAGGTAGCGATATTCAACGTACAGCGGCACAGACCGATCTAGGGGGAGTCTTTTGCCCTCCCCTCGACCTTCTCTCAACGACACAGGCACCAGTGCTGCAAAAGTCCGGGTCTAAAGTTAGAACTAAAGTAAACTAAAGCCTAAAGTAATCACCACAAAAAGGCAGTGCGGGCCTCAAGGGCCTGTGAGGAAAAGAAGAAGGGGCCGGAAC